TAGTTTTATTTTTAGCTGCTGATCGTGTCTCTAGTAAATGTGTGCTTGTACGCCTACAGGCGAAGAAACAAAGTGGCAACACCTTGTGTATCGATCAGTCGTCGTGTTGTCTCAGTGCCCCTAGTTGTCACTCCCTCAACGCCACTTGACCATCCACTACTTATCCTATTTCTTTGCCTTACAACCCCCCACCCCCCTGCTACCACCTGTCATAATTCCCCCGCTCTGTCGTGATCGTTCACTTCTACCATGACCCACTTTTACCGCGCTTTAGCTCATCTTTACATCTGACCTTAATTTCCTTTGATTTCAGAACACGCCGATTTCGTGGCGAAGGGATGAAAACTTGTCGAACCTGCGTTTTCAGTTTGTCTGCGTACCTATGCACCGTGTCGTTATGTCGTACTTACAATTACAATATTGCAATTCATCTCTTTCCCCATTGCGTGGTCATCGGGTGATAGAACTATAGACACGTACCTATATGCCGATGAACATCGGATGGTATTTTGGTGGGATTTTTCTTTTCCTTACGTATAATAGTCAAGCTAGTAAATGTAATTTACCAAGCGCAGTGAAATGTACAAATGGTAAAGTGACTTTTCCTCCGACTCGATAGCTTTGATTGAAATCAGTATTTGTTCAGTCGTAAGACAAATGATTTTTAATTATTTGAAAAAACGATTTCAAGGTAAATCCACCCATTTGTGAAACGAAGACAGCAGCGTCACCAAACAAAAAAGCCAATCCCGAAAAAAAGCTTAGTCTTTTTCCCCCTCTTGACTTTACACCCCCACTAGAGTTGTACAGCTCTCATTGCGCGCTACCCCTGAGCTCTTCATCGGTTCTCGTATACAGTTACACTCGCGCGTGTACCAGTACAGAGCCCAAAGGTAGTAGGTACCTGCTTCACCCTACCAGCCACTTGTCTTCGAATCATCGAGCTGTTGTTGAGCTGCTTGAATCTCGAATTTGCATCCGCACGCGCGATTAACCCTTTTGATCCAAGAGCCGGGGCTCGTCGAGGCTTCCACCGTTGTTGCTGTTGTGGGTGCGCTTACACTTGTGTGAGCACATTGGTTCAACAAGCGTGTAAGCTCGCTCTGACAGGTGCGCGAGTTTTTGGGTAAGAAGTAACAACAGCTCGTACGCGTTGGAAAATATGGCGTGTGCGTTATGCTTTTTTTTTTTTTTTTTTAAATCTTGTATTTTCATGGTACGCTTTATAGTGGACTCAGATTTTTATTATTGCGTGTGAATGGCAATCGATCGAATCGTGTGAATGGGACGGACGCGTATGCATAAAAGATGTATACCGAGTGTACATGTATATACGTTGCAGATAAGCGTACGAGTATAATACATATACAGTGGCGAGATATGACGTTGAATATGCATACTCGCTTGGCTTTGAAATTTTCAACTGCCGAACTGAATGGGTCGATTGGCTGTAGACGACGAAAAAACATGCCCCGCCAAAATCATTGAAATTAAAAAAAAGAAGTGGTACGGTAAATTAATTGGGAGTAAGTTTCCGAAAATTATGAGAATGGGATGGACCAGCAGTTCATTATTTTCAATTTATAGCTTGAGAAGCTTACAAACGTATGTATTACACAAGTTTTACAATTTGAATAATAGGATTTTTGTAGGATATCGTTACGAAAGTCTCATTACTTCGAAGTAGATGACAACGGAATAAAGAATTTTGTGAAAAGTATCGTTTCTTTGGAGTTGGTCACAATTTGAAATTTTATTTCAAACTTTTATGTAGGGCTCCTTCAATCTCATTGTTAGACAGTACAATGTCTGGAATAACAAACCGTTATTCAACATAATTCAAACGTGATTTCTCGAAGAGTTTCAAGTCAGTGCTATATAACCTCGTCCATTGTATCATTTTGACTTAAAAAAAAGCCGCAGTTTGGAGTTTAATCGCCCCATTTATCTTGAGCAATTCCATTCAACTAATTCCGAGGTGCTCAAGGATCTGTGCCCAGATGCGAAATCTCTCGTCTTAGGACTTCAGCCTAGTGTAATTTCCTAAGTGCCGCCAGTGGCAGTTCAAAGGATACATATATATCCTTTCGAATGGATGTAAAGCAGCTTATCGATACAAAGGGGATGTCGAATGGAAGGACCAAGTGGATGGATACCCCACGCATACCAAGGATTGAGTCCTCGTCCTCGACAGCACCATTAGTAGCCCCAATAAATCCCTCGAATATTCATCGGCCCACTTTTCTCCAAAAAGTACCGATACCTCACTCTCCTGAATCTTTCACGGCCGCTAATCAACGTGGCAGACCCAAGTCGTCCATAAAAAATAAACCCCGGCGCCCTCTCTTCCTCGTCCATTCATCCATCACAATAGCGGGCTCCCTCCCGTGGGTCGGCGTTGTCTACCTTCCGAAACAAATCGTAACTCTGCGCCCCACCACAACTCACCCCCGAGCCTTCCCTCACCGCCAACATCTTCCATACCCCCCTCACGTACGTCCTTTATACGCGCGAGTTGGCGTGTAAATTCGTAATCAGCAACGGGGGAACGCAAGGTCCGCTGTTACTGACTGTTAATGCTCAGGCACGAGCTGCGTAATTACGCGCAGCCGGTGTCCACGCGTACGTCGGGCTGATACCATTGCAGCCTTCAGAGTCTCATACATACATATACCCATGCGCTACGTATGGACGTCCAAAGGACACACACCTGCGAATATACATGTACACACATTGTAGATGTATCGCGTAACCTGTACATGTGTATGACGTGTACAATGTGTTATGAGCCTGACTGTTTGATAAGGCCGGAGTCTATGTATATGCGGGAGATATATGAAGGAGGTGGAGCCGAATGCCTAATTCAAGGCCTGCTCGGGAAGTCTCAATGGACTGCTGCTCGTAGGCCACTTGGAGATGGATGGGGGTGTAGCGGTGAGGAGAGTTGGCTCTGGATTAAATTTATTTTCCATCGGCTGTTAAACCACGACAGTGCCAATGGTTTTATTTTCACTACAAGTTTTCAACGTTATCACCTTAGGTTGTATAATTAATAAAATAAAAAAATAAATAAATCTCCACGTCGTGTGTCAGCCCAAGGACCAACATGTCCTGTTGGTCGAACTAACGACCACTTGCATCAAGGATGCTGCCGTCGAATCGAGGCAAGTATATAATCGCCGCCGTGGCGCTCCTCGTTCATGTAACACTCGACTTGCCATTGGCTGTTTCTTGCTGAGTGCCATCACAAATGATGGAGTGTATTCGACTTCTCCGCAGTACTGTTATGTTGTCATCGTCATGTAACTCGACGCTTATAATTTCCGTCTAGTAAATTCGTCGCTGCGCCGCAAGGGTTACACATAATTTGGGGTAATCATGCGCGACACGGTGTCAATCATCCCGACCTATCGACTCGCGGACTAATGCGTATCAATCGACCGCGACACCACAGACAATTTCCAACCCCAATGTCTCGATCTTACTCCCAACGCGAGCGAATCAATAAAATGCAAAAGATGTTTTACGTCACTTTGCACGTGGGTATAAATTACCTGATCGCAATTTATTCATCAGCTCTCAGCTCGGTTCCGTTCTCGATACAATATATATATACGTGTGCGCGTACGCGTGCTGTGCTCCCTCGATTGACAAATTGAATTGCGATCGGGAGAGGGTGAGCCGTGTCGCGTGTGCCCACGCCAAAATGTAAATCGAGTGAAGCGAGAGTAGCATGAAGCGGGGGGGGTGAATTTAATTCTTAAATCAACTTAAACACTTGCGCCACGCGCTGCGGGGGCTATTTTAGGCGTGGCGGTCCGGCCCATCCCCTTTACTGCTCGAATTAACGTCGACACGCGCACGGGATCAAGAGGTCATTAAATCCCTATTGGGTGTCACCCTGTGCGCGCGGGTTGACGTGTCGACGGTTCTTTGATGTGTATGTGTGCACGTGTTGCGTCTGGCTGGTTCCGGAAAAATGGCCCAAACAAAGAGAAGCGCGGACGATACATTGCACATGAGATGGATATATACGTAACGCGTGTGTTTTCAGCCAAGCGCAGCTGCTGTCTCTCTCGTGATTGAATGGACGCTCGGCGTGTTTATTATGCACGACTCTCGTCCTCGTGAAAGTTTTAGCGATCGTCCAAGCGTGGAACAGGTGAAGCGTGGGGGTGGAATAATGTTTTTTTTTTTTTTTTTTTTTTTTTTTTAATACTTTTAGCCTCCAATTTACTAATGCCTCTGTTTATGACTGCACTGGAATATCATTCCACACTATAGTGGTCTAATCTCGTGATGACTCATGTTTGGACGACAGTATGAGAAACATGCGATTAAAAGATATGTAATAATAGTAAAAACGGAATAAAAAAGAAAAGAGATCTCTTGGTTGGGATTAAAAAATCAAGGTCCCATCTTTTATCGCGGCTACACTACCATTGCATCTGCCATCGATTCGAGAGGACCCCATCTTTTTTTATGCCAACTAAATCGTCGCCGTAAGCCGTACGAGGCAATTGTAGACATGGACAGTTACTCCATCAAGTAGGGAAAAGATTTTATTGCGAATTTACGATACTCCGGTTTACTGCAATATTCAACGTTGTCTCTCTTTTTTTTCTTCTTTTTTTTTATGGTCGCAATAAAAACAACTGCTCGTGTAATGCTATTGCGTGCCCCTTGTGAATAATAAAAATGCGTCATTTTTTTTATCATATTCGTGCTGCTGGATATTTTGACCTTCGTGGACAATTGTTTGTTCTTAGATGAGTGTTCAGTAACTCTGAAACATTTAATAGTACAATTATACATATATATTACGATCAAATGAGAATGATGTTGACCATATTTTTGGTGGGAATCATCATTCGGTACGGGTATTGATACTTTTTTCTTTTATTCGTGTTACAGGTGCAATTTTCGAGCAGGGCACCGATGAGATCCAGTCTGCCTTTAAATACGCCCTCGAAGTATATCACAAGCAAAACAACACTGGCCGCAAGCCTGAGCTGCAGGTTCTAATGGACATCATCAATACTGCAGATGCATTCAAACTCTCCCGTCTAAGTGAGTAGTACCTTTTAATGTTTAACGAGGCAATTTAAGGAACAGACAACTCCTTGTTTGCATTGGTAATACTTTAACGTGTGTTTGCAATTCGATGAAGTAATACATATTCAATTGGATGTTTTAATTTCACTATTTCCAATTGGATGTCAATATTAATACAATACATAATGAAATACGCTTAGTTTAACAAAAAAAAAAAAAAAAAAAAAAAAAAAAAAAAAAAAAAAAAAAAANAAAAAAAAAAAAAAAAAAAAAAAAAAAAAAAAAAAAAAAAGAAAACAACTGTATTTACGTACAATTGTTTGATATGAAGTGCAGTCGACTGGATGGGGGGTAATGTAGTTGAGCTTCGGAGTCTTGAGTTGGTGACCTGGAAAAAAAAGCTACTTTGTTCGTTTCTGGATTCTGCAACCAATGGCTCTTAGAAAAAGTATGCAGAAACTTATCAAAATATTTGGACGTCATTGTAGTAGGTAAAACTTGTTCGACACACAAGTCATGGCGTACAACAGGGTTCAGCAAGTTGCGTACATCAAGTGAGCTGTAGGTAGATGGACTAAGGCGTATTAGATGAGTGTTACATGGGTCAACGAAGCAGATATAAATGTAGAAAGCACTAAAGTTATTGAGAGCAATATCTGGCTTTGAAGGCTGTATGCTACGTCACGCTGTTCATTTACCAAATAAACATATATATCAACCCTGGACAACAACGTATACAAAATTTGTTGAATTAAACATGGAAAGAGAGTTCTTGTAGCTTTGTGAAAACAGTACAACATGCAATGCATATTACACGAGATAAATGCCAACTACGGTTTTTTGGTCACTCTCCTCGTCATTCCGGACGACTCAATCTCCCCCAGCCACCGTTCATCCCCCACTTCGCCAACGCACTGCAGACGCGCAGTGCGGTTTTATATACGTACCAGGAAACACTTTTGGAACAGCATTCGTCCAACCCCGATCGACTCACTCGCTCTTCCACTTTCTTCCATAGTTGCAGTGGCAGCAAGAGAAGAAGAAGCAGTGCGATAACTACTTTACGAGTTTCGCCTCCTCCCCGATAACTTTTATACCCTCCCGATTCCCCGGCTTTCTATTTCGTCCCAAGTCACCTCCCTCCCCCCCTCCAGGCTTCGATTCTCTGGACGAATGTGTCTGTAATTTTGTCATCTTCTTTCTCTTTCCAGACTCGTTTCTTCTAAGCCACCTCCCCTTCCCTCATTCGTCGCGCGGCTCATCCACGGCAAGAGCCCAGCATCGATCTATACACCCAATTCTATCATCATCACGAGAGAATAGAGGAGACATCCACGTAACTAATCCATTCCCAAGCTATGAGAATCCCCCTTTGGTATGTTTTAACGCGACAAACACCACACGTCCATCCCGCGGATTCCCTTCGATTTTCCGCTCGAGAGTGCGACGCTTTATTTTCCTTCCTTTTTTTTCCCCTCAGACAAGCGGGGACTCTTTTCTCATTCTATTATCCATTCGCGTCACCGAAAGCCCCACGGAGACGCGAAACGCCACTTTATTTCTCTCCCCGGGCAATCTCGTCGCTCCCAATTTTCTCCGCGGCTTCTCGCACTTTTCCAACCCCCTTCCTCTTCTTCCTTCCTTCCGCTGTAAAATTACGGGTCCACTGTGTCTGGTGTATGATTTTCTTGCTCATTTTGCGAATTATTACAACTACACCCTTGGTCACGCTAATTCTTTTTTTTTTTTTTTTTCTGTTTTTTTTTTTTTTTTTTTTTTTTTTTTTTTTTTTTTTTTTTTTTTTTTTTTTCACAACGTAACAAGAGTCATTTTGTGTATTGTTTTTCTCGCGTTTTCGTTTCAACCCTCCCCACCGGTCTTGGATATCCAAAACGAAGACGAACATAGTCCAAACAAAATCGTCATCATCATGACACCCTAGGACCCTTTACTCCACGCAAGTGAGATCCTCCGAACGTAATTTTATCGAAATCATAACTCCCTTCTCGCGAGCGTTAAAAAGTACAAGGATAAAAATAAGAGGGCCTCCTCTCTTCGCTTCCTCCGATCGATCAAATGTATTTGCAGTGGCTCTGGTTGTCCTCTTTGTCCACTACAATTACGTACACATGCATGGGAGAACACCTCGTCACTCTGGTGCTTCCAGATCGCGTCCACTGACTAGTCGGTCTTGTCTCTCAGTCGATGACCTGCAACGAAGAATCCTTTGAAGCTCAATAACCCTGTGGCGCTATCGAAGCCTCAAGGTCCTCCTCGATGCACGCCCTCGCACCTCCTACCCTAAAGATCTCCCCTCGCATCCTTTAGTTTGCTTATCCCCCACCCCTTTGCTCTCTTGTTCGTTTTTACTGGATCAACAAAATTTCTCTTTCGTTTCGAGCCGTACGGTTTTGTTTTTACCCCCTTGTAAACTCGTGATCCCATTTTGCGCGTATACGTTTGGATCCGGGTGAAGACAATATTTTCTCCGCGGGTAATGGAAAATGTGTCCCAGACGTGAAATAATAACAACAGAGACATAGGTACGCGCGCGACACTGGTTTCCGGTTAAACGGCAATCATAGCCCGAAAACAACAACGTGCCATGTACGTGTATGTATATACGTACGCCATTCGTGCCGTGGTGCTGTACGGCTCGTAAATCACGGGAGCGCATAACCGTAAACACCGAAACAGTCGTTCCGCAACGCTATTTCATCGTCTGGCCGATTATCTCTTAAATTTCTCCCTCCCCCTTTCTTTCCTAGCTCCCATTCAAAGGACCCCCTTCCATTTTTCCTCCTCCTCCCTCTCCCCTTCGGGGAAAACTTTGCACTTCCCTCGGCTGAGCCTATCTCTCTCTTGCTCCCGCAGAGCCGTCGAATTGCAGTTGCCACTGCCATGCCCCGAAAACCCGACTACGAAGCAGAAATATCAAGCTCGCCTCGCTCAAGACTCTGCCCTACGATACCGCTTGGGCGCACGAAATTTGGGCAGGGTCCAAGTTTACGAGGAAAGAGGAGACCAAGCCTGGTCTGCGGTAACTGGTACATACATCTCGTGTCCTTGCTTTTAAAGCTCCGGTGCACGAGCTAAGCGTGCACCGTACGCGTACACGCGAGCGTTTTCAGTACTTGCCGGAGCTGCGCTAATTGTATTAACGCCAGGGCCCCGCAGGATCGAGAGGCCAGCCTCTGTTTAATGTTTATGGCCTTTTGGGGCTGGTACGGGGGACGCTGGATTATTATTCGCTGATAGCTTCGATTCTTCAAGCTTAGCTGGCTTTGTTTCTTCTTTGAGGACTTTAACTCTTTTGGGTGAAAATTAGTTTTTATTGACTTTTACTGGAGTACGTGGTACGCTTTCGAAAGGATGACTCTTACATGTACTGGAGATGATGAATCTTAAGGAAAAAGAAAGTTTTCGCTGGGAAAGATTGCAGATTGAGAGTCTGGAGATGGAAGTTTGTCAATTTCCATTGACGGAGATGGGGAAAAAATTCGGATGGAGGTACGTAGGTATAGGTTTCACCTTTGCCATTTTCCCCGAATCTTTCGCGACATCTGATCGGATTTCCCAGACCCGCGTTGTCGTCGACTTACGACTCCTTCCCTACTTTTCTCGTTTTCCTCAATTCTCCCTCCACACCGGAGCTGCTGGAAAATGTATAGACTCTACCATATATGTTTCTCGACTCTACCTGCAGATAATATCTCACACACACCTATCCAGCCGGTCTCCTCTCGGGGAAATAAAATCCCCCCGTGCGAGCAATTTTTGGGGACCGCTATACCGGGGAGGAGAAAGAGCTACTTTTCAGAGGTGGCCGGGGGATGATGGAGGGCTTGGACCTTACTTTGTTAAGCTACGTGTGAACAAGAAATGGATTTCGCGTGAGTTACTGGCTGGAAGGGTGATTTATCCGGGGTGCGTTTGTTTACGTGAACCTAGAAGGCTTTTGATTGTGCATTAGAGACCGAGAAAAGATATTCGGGGTATCGTTGGACGTGTGACATCAGTTACACTCTTTTTTATGCTGCGAGAATCTTCATTTCGTTAATTCTCGAAGAGTTTTTTCATTTTTTTTTTCTTCTGACTCACCGTGTCCTATTTTGTTCTGTTGTAATAAAACCTCACAACCTCAATGTAACATTATCCATCTCAAATAAAATTTTTCAATAACGCAAAGAGAACTGAGAAGAAAATATTTCACTCTCGACATTTTTTTTCCAGTGTAAAAAATCTGAAATTGAAAAAAGAAATTATTGAATCTCATAAATATAGCGTAGGAAGCGTTTTAATAAATTTTAAAAGAACAGTACTTAATTTTTGGTTTCATCGAATGATTGTTGCACTGTTTTCAAATTTTTACTACCTTTTTTTTTTTTTAAACCATGTTTCGAAATTTCTTACGACTTCCGGTTGGATTTCTACAGCGAAATTTTAAAATTTACAGCCCACAGAAATAGCGAGGAGCAAGTATCGATATTCGCAAACTTTTTTCCCTCGCAAAGATCGAGCGCCCATCTATTAACCCCCACTGCGTGGCAGGCAGGCGAACTAGCGTGTACAGAGGAACAACATCGATAAAGCCAAATCTCCGCCGAAAGTTGGCCAAGGAGTAGTGTATAGGAGGAGGAGGTAGAAAATCGGTACTTGAGCTTCCACACACGCGAGGGCCCTACTTTAACAGGACATAATGGCGATCTATCACCTCGCGCTCGAGCATATCGCATAATATCCATCCCCAGGCCCAGGATCCATTGGCTCCACCGCCGCGTATCCCACTGGTTATACTGCTATACTTATAATGTGTACGTATACGCCGTTGCTGCTGCCAGCCTGGGGCCGCATAAATCTGCCGAAGACTCCCCGGAGTATTTCCCACCGTCTCTCCTCCTCCTGTTCCTTTTTTCCTCCTTTTCCGCCCTTACTCCTGCTCTCCTAACCCCATCGTATTGGACGCACAGTGTATATAGTGCTTCTCTACGGTTTCCAATACATGTACCCGCGCC